TATTTTATGTAAACGGAAGGGAAATGGAAGGGAGCTGATATGGAAGGTATAGTGAGAATCAACCTTTATACTTTTCTAAATTTCCATACGGTTTTAGAGAAAAATAAAAAAAATATGAAAATACGGTTAAATTTTTTCCTAAGCCTCAAAAATCGTAGAAGTCCTAAAAATCAAAACGAATTTCTATGGTAATATCATTTGCAGAGCACAAGGGAAAAACGATGAGTGTCCAAAAAAGACAAATGTCCAGAAAAGCGTTTTTTAATTCAAATTACGCAAGGACTTATCGTTTTTCCCATTTTTAATATGCTTGTTTTTATGTCGCTGTCGATATTCCCGTTTATTTAGGTACCATTAGGTGTAGCTTTTTAAGACGGAAAATATTATGCATTAAGACCAAATTAACAAAAAATGGACTTTCATCGAATTTGGTTTCGATTCTTTGATTTTTTTAGGTTATTATTAATTTTGATTAAATGTATATCACCCTGTCCAATATCTAGTATCACCCTATTTCTAACATCGAACTAAGTAAATGTTGTGCTTCTTTAACATTTTAATAATCAAATAATATCACCATTAATGCGTTAATTAAAATTAATAATAATAATAGACTAATATCATATACTAGATAATAAAAAATTATTCATATTTACTGACTAGGAAGAAACCAAACTATAAAAAATAGATACCAAGTTATGTTTCTATGTTTATAATGCGCAGTGTCAGAAATCGATCCGTCTAATGTTGCCATATCAATCATTCACTTGACACACAAAAGTTAGATTTTTCAATTTGGTCATGTGAAATTGCAATTAATAAGTGAATGCTAATGATTTAGCAATATTATTCAAGGCGCGAAGGTAATAACTTATTAAAAATATTCGATACAAGTAGCGTGAATATTTTCTAATGTCATCATAAATTTAAAGTAATTAAATGTCAAAGGCAGGTAAAAGATAAGTATAACTTCTAAAAACACCTTCTATACCTTTATAACAATATTTATAAAATTAATTTTTGTTTAACAATATCTCAATTTAATTTCTAAATACATAATCTTCTGAGATCTTAAGGCAATTGCGGAATAAAGCAATAGTTATTTATGGCATATTATACATATTTCACAGCATTATACACTCACCGGCACGAAAAACGGGCACCTTAAAATTTTAATGTATGTTAAAGTTTAATAATATATTTTGTTGTCGTCGCCCGATTTTGATGATTTCTTATGCAATACGTAGCTAAATTATTTGACTTTTTTTGTATCTCTTTCTAAATTAAAAATGAAAGTTCCCATCTGTTAATTATATGAGGGAAAACAAAATGTTGATGTTTTGGTGAAATTTTGAACATCCTGTGGCATATGTTAAGACAGAAGGGAATTTAAAAATCATTTTGTTATTTAGGTACATCCTTTCCCGATATTTTGCTTTTTGGTTCATCTCAATAACTTGATTTTTGTTGAAGATATTCGCTTTTGAAGAAGACACTAAGATTTTTCCGTTATTTTTACATAACCATTGCTTTGCTTTTGGTCGTCGCGTCGCATCGGTTGGATAAGATATTAATTTTATTGGTTGAAACCGTTTATTGGATAATACGAATCGCTTGTGATTGGTCAGTTTGGATTAGTAGTGGGAACTATCGAATGAATACTATCGAAACATTCGATAGTTGCAATTCATTCGAATAATTCGATAGCTAGTAAAAAAACATTCGTTGAAAACTATTCGAATAAAAATTATCGAATAGATGCGTCATCTGCCTTGAAATATTGTATTCTAGTAATTCGGCAGCAAAAACCATTCATTTAATGCAAAAGAATATATACACTGAAAAGAGAATAACCAACCACTTCCTGAGGGCCAAAAAAGCCCAGCGAAAAATTTGTCAACAAAAAAGTAAGATTAGTTTATAGTTGTCAAAATATCCGTTATCGTACGAAACAGGGGTTAAATATTGTGGCGCGAAAACGCTATAACGTGAAAATACGACTTTAGTTAATATTTGTTTTCCTTTTATAATATTCACTTTTTTTAATATTTTAATATAGTAGTCAAATATATCAGATTTAATCAATACTTTTTTGTAAAAGGTAAAATTACATTTGAAGGGCCCAGGGGAAAAACTTGATAAGCCAGTTTCTTAATTTTAGGATTTTACAATATTATAGTAGGTTTAACTGCTCCGTACAAAATGTATAAACTCTGCAGGGCAATAAGTTGTTAAGTCCCATGATATATGCCTAGTAAAAATATAGCATATTATTACTATTAGTCCAACCTACAGCAATTTCAAATAAAAAAATAATGGTATTTAAGATAATTACAAAAAAACTAATTTTAAAAAGTTTTAACCTATAACTCTAAAACTATACATTTCCATATCGATGTTTATAGGAACTTTCTTTCATATTTTTTTATGAGGAATGAATGGGTACTTATTTATACGTTCGCAATTTTGGTATTAAATGTTTTTAAAGGTTGTTATTAGACTTGGATCAAGGCAAATTAACAAACTTGCGTTTATCTCATCAAGGCGGCCGAAATCGACAAAATATGAAGAGACAACTTTTAATCGGCACCCCCTTGGTGAATGTCGACACTTCTTTAGCTTTAAAATATGTCGCATTTATAGTAACTTTTACCCTCAAAATTGCATTCGAAACGCTAAAGTACTTGGAAGAAAGTTATAATAAATCGAAAAAATATTAAGACTTTAACACCCTGTAACTAAGAAACAAAGCAAAATTGGACCTATGTTGATATGAAATAAATCTTATTTTTACGTGAGGAATCTCCCCCCAAGAGATGGAACGTTTTTTGAAACACCCTGTTACTATACATGGTGGTCCGAAGTGTATTGCGGAAACTTCGGCAGCATATTCTGCAGATGAAAATAAGTCAAAAAGTTCGTATAAATATATGTCCTAAAATGCTTAGTTTCGGAGATACAGGGTGTATAGAAGTTGCATCTTTATTTTAATTTTTTCCAAATAATTTCTGAAATAACATCAATATTTTGATGAAAATTGGCGTCTGGGAGTTTTTGGCATGAGAAATTCGATTTTGATGAATTTTGGAAACACATGGTGTAGAAGCTTCATTTTTATTTGGACTTTTTCCATATAATTTCTGCAGTAACATCAATATTTGGATGAAAATTAGTATCTAGGAGTTTTTTGACATGAGGAATTTGATTTTGGTCCTATTCGTAGGGGGGCGCCACCTACATGTATTTTAACTGTTTTGAAGAGTAATAACTATTCATGCCACAACCAACTATTCAGTGTAAAAATATACATTTCCGTGATTTTTTACGTAAAACATATCTCTTGGTAAAAGTCGCTACGAATAGCCGTTCTCAAGATATTTAGAATGGAAATAGTCAATACGTATCATAATAATTGAGAAAAAAAATAAACATATTGAGTAGATAGAGTTATTTGGCTGAAATGATAAATTTGGGAACTTTTTATTTTGCATGTTTAATTTATGTTAATGATGACAGGTACTGATAATTTTCATTCCAAATATCTCGAGAATCATTAGTCGTAGCGATTTCTACCAAGAGACTTTGTTTACGTAAAAAACATCGTAAATATATATTTTTTTACTCAGTACTTTTATACAGGTACGGACAAAAAGTAATTACTCTTCAAAACAGTTAAAAAATATGTAGGTGGCGCCCTCTACAAGTAGGAGTTATATTGGGCGCGTTCAGGGCCGCTGTTATATTGGGCGCGTTCACAGCCGCTGACATTCAGCGTAGAATTTCGCTGACCAGCAGTTTACGATATTCCCTAAACGGCACAAAGCAGCAAAAAGAACAAGAAACAGTAGCTGTCTCATGGGCTCTCTGTCTACTATAAAAATTGATAATACAGTATTAAACATTAAATTTCTAAAAAATAACAGTTTATAAAAATAGTTTCACCAATACACCTAAACAGAGACCTAAACAAAACAACTTAAAATAACAGGAACTGCCAGTTCGACCAAGTCACCTTTTCCGCATTTTTTTTCGATAGTATGGGACAAATAAAATTACTGAAGGTGTAAATACCCTACAATAAAAAAAAACGACGTCAGGGGTGATGTGGAGGTGAAGATTGCTGTTATCTACTTTATAAGTAAACTTATATAGGGAATATTATATCGATCGTTATTTCTAAGCCAACTATAGGCGCAATTTTTTTCGATCAGACCATATTATAATTACAATCAACAGTTATTTATGCTGATTTAGATTTTTTCAGAAAGTAGTATTTTTTCTTAATTTCATTGTATTGAGAAAATTCGACATGAGATGGAAATCAAGTTGAATTTTCTTTATTTCTTCAACTTCTTCGATCTCCATTTACAAGTCTTTTTCGAACGTTTTAGAATAGTTTTAGATTAACCTACTGCTTTGTAACTTTTTTGGCAACAAATATCTCCTATTTTTTAAAGACTCGATTAACTACGATTGACTACAAACTTCAACAAACCATAAAAAGTAAACAAAAAACTGAGAAAATTAAAGTTATTTTTAGTTATTTTATATTAGTTAACCACAGATAAGGAAATAATTAAGGCTGACTTGCCTCAGCCTAAATATTAACCGCTGAGAATTTTGCACAGCGGCTGCCTGTTGCTGTTCGTCAGAATAGTTAGGGAAATCGCTTACTCAGCCACTCAGCCGCTGACCGTCCCTGAACACGCCCATTGACATTAAAATCAAATTCCTCATGTCAAAAAACTCCTAGATACTAATTTTCATCCAAATATTGATGTTACTTCAGAAATTATATGGAAAAAATCCAAATAAAAATGAAACTTCTACACCCTGTATCTCCAAAACTAAGCATTTTAGGACATACATTTATACGAACTTTTTTTACTTATTTTCATCTGCAGATTATGCTGCCGAAGTTTCCGGAATACAATTCGGACGACGTATACTATTTATTACTTCCATTAATGGTTTCTAATACTGAATCTCTTTTTTTTCAGAAAATTCAAAGATGGCAACGTCAACTATTCGCAGATACAAAAGACTAATTACAGTTGTAATTTTAATATTAGTGCTAGTAATTGCCACTAACATATTAACTTATTCGCCTCAAATGAACGAACTGGTAGAAGAGGATGGCATATTATTATTGGATCTGGAGCCAATAGAAGAAGAAAAAATTACAAAATGGTGGGAGAGAAGAAAAAACATGGTAGGCCATCCTTTAAATACATCTAGATAATTAGGGATTGCATTATCGGCTTATCGATTTACCGATAAAAAGTCCTAAAAACACGGTAAAATGGTATCGGTAAATCATCTTCAAATACCGGTAATTTTGGTAGTCATTAAAAAATACTCGTAAATATACGTCTATACTACTCTATAGAAGCCCGATGTCAAGTTTTTCTGAACTCGAAATTTTCGAAGTTTTTATTACCATTTTTATTACGATTACAATAGATTTCTTACAATACTCGTATTTATTGTATAATGCTATTAAAATATTCATAATTTTTATTACCCTTTTCAAGAAATACTGTAAAAAATTTATTATTTTGGAGTTAAATTGCGCCGAAACAACCGTTATAATTTTTAATCACAGTATCGCAACCGAGGGACTAACAGCTGGGATAAAATTTGTACATGTATTGCGCATTACATGCTTTTCTAAAAGTAATACCGCTAATTCCAATAGAATGCCACTAATTACTTCGTAATGCGACATTTTTGGTAGTAATCCCAACTGATTCAGTTTGGTAGTATTACCAGCTTTCAGTTGAACTGAATGCTAGGAATGCCAATGTAATACTGCGTAATTCCGGTAATGCCATCATAATGCAATGAAATTTCTATAATACCAGTAATGCCATTATCATCGTACATAAACAAAACTAGTATGATCAGTCTGTAGGTAGGTATTTTTGCAGATAATCTATTTAATACAAAAATTATTACTACTTAGGTATACCTATTCAAAATTGGGAGGGGATATATTAGTATCTCCAAAAAAATCCTTTATGGGTATTTCGCCACTGCACTGCAAGAAAATCTACAAAATAAAATAATTATTTTTTGTAAACACTTCTGCGTTAAACCTAAACGGACGCAGCTTGTCAAAAGTTATGTTTACAGTAATACAAATTTGCCTAACAAAGAAAAAAATGCTTAACGTTTCGGAAAGTTATCTCTTTCCGTCGTCGGAAGCAAAAAATACAAAGAATAAAGAAAAAAACTATTTCAAATATTTAAATTCAACTATTCGAGAACACTTTACTTTTTTAAAACAGATACGTCTACAAGAAACCGTTGACGTTCTGTTAAAATAATAATAAATAGTTCTGTTTGATATATTAGTATCATGAAAACCTAAAGAGATGGTTAAATAGAAAATGGTTTTAGAAAATTTTCGTTGTAATTAAGTGCCATATAGTTTGCGCCTTTATCTCGTTTGGTTTTTGACATTACATATTTTGAAAAAACTAAAATGACGCATTTTTCGTAAATATCATGTAAAAATCAGAGGCTGTCAAAATCTGAAATAAAAAATCCGGTTTTGTATTTAAATAAAATCTGATTACTTAAAGATATTCTTTTTTTATCTCAAAAGTTGACCACTAATTTCAAATTAAAAAATTGATCTTTGTATTTCTAATCTTTTTATCTTTTATAGTTTTCAAGACACCAATATTGGAGACACAGGTATTCTTAAAAATAGTTTCTTACATGAACCAACACTCAAATCAACATTAATACTAATTTAGATTTTAAGATTTCTTACTGCTACACATTGTTTTCTTCACATCTTTGTAGAGTTTAACAATTGCTAATTTATCTTGTCTCCGCAACTGAAATGGTCCTGTTCCAACGATTTTTATTGGTCCATAAAAAATGTAATTTTTGTCTACGGATTGGACATCATTGTCGTGGGGCCATATACAATTATCTAAATCGGGTTTCAAAAATTTAATTATATATTCATGTTGATGTTCATTATTGGACATTTTTATAAGTCTACCGATATGCCAATTATCTTCATAAGCCACTGCATAATAATTTTCAGTCTATAGTGTAATTTCTTTGTCTTTCTTATTATCTTGTTCGGTTATTTCTTCAATATCGTCAAATTCTTCATTTTCAAACTCGCTTTCCGTTTCATAATCAGTTGTTGATCCCTCTGTTTCGCTTTCAGTTTCACTCAGCTCATTTTTATTTTTTTAAGGTGCCTTTTTTTTATTGTTTTTATCTTTGCTTTGGTTTTAGAATTGCCCTTTGTTTTTCTGTTAGGACCCTTTTTCGTTTCTGAATCACTTTTCATGCGTCTTACACGTAATAAACGATCAGACGATAGACGACCTTTTTTGTCAGAAAAAAGCCAGCAGAGTGTCGATTTACTAAGTTTAATTATCTTACCAATTACTAACACATTTAAAAACCTAATGTCATCATTATTCCCTTTTCCTGAATAATCTTTAATGTTGATACACTCTCAAAACCTAGAGCAGTCGAGGATAACTGATTGGAAATAATTTGAAGATCCTGATGTATTTCTTCAGATACTTGATATGAATACGGCGTAATTCATATGTAATGCCTTGCAATATTATCGTAATACCTTGTAATACCAGGTAATATATTATAAGGGCATTATAAGGGATTACCACGGCTTTATAATTATACGATATTATACGATGGCATTATAATATAATGCCATCGTAATTCCTGTAATGCCGAGTAATGTCAAGTAATGCCAACTTAATGCCAACTTAATTCCGGTAATGCGCACATAATGCGTCGTAATGCCACATAATTTGTACATGTATTACCAACAGTTGTTAGCCTCTCGATCGCAACCAATAAAAGTTGCTGTGGAGCATTTAGTTGCAGAAATTTAGAGTTGGGATTTTGACCGTCAAAATCTTTTGTGGTCAATTGTCCAGTCAATTGACTGGTCAATTGACAAAGCACCAGTCAAATTCTTTCGTGATTCTAAAAGATTAAAAGTAGGAGGAATTACATTTATACGTATATTAGTGATTAAAAAACAGTAAACAAAAACTAAAGAATACAACAAAACGAAACATTACATTAAATGATAATTAAATTTAAAAGTTTTATATAAAATTTAATATTAATTTAAATGTAAAGCGTGGTCCACACGCGGCAACTTATCGTACGATTTGTTTGCATTACATTAAATGATACAAAAAAGACAGTAACCGAACAAGACTAAAAATTTTTAAACAAATATAAAGCCATTCTGAGGTAGCGAAAAAAAATGCATAATAGCAATAAAAAAATACTAATGAATGGTGGTAGCACAGGCTAATCTAGATAACGGAATCTCATCTTCATCACAGTCATCATTGAACTCATTGAGTCAGCATTAAAGCAGCCAACTAACAATTCTTTCGCGTCAATTCTCTCTCTTTCACAAATCTCAGTAAAATAAGTAAACCTAGACGTTTCTAAAATATCTGTTGTTACGATGATATTTCGTTAATTACATCTTGATTTATTTTGATATATATATAGTATTCCACAAGATTAATATTTGAACACGCGGTTAATATGTTTAGTAGATATACAGGGTCCGGCAATAGTGCGTCGGGCATCTGTAGCTCATAGAATAAAAAACTTGAGAATTTTTTTTTAGGTGCAAACCTAAAGTATGTACCAGGATGTATTTTAGAAAAATATTTTAACTTCTATAGTGTGGCTCAAAAAAGTGTGAGTGGACCTGGATGATTTTTTTTAAATGGAACGCCCTGTATATTATTGAATTTTTGGCTTCCTTTCAGATCACTTTACATAATCCTATGATATGAATAAATATATTTCCATAGTTTCAGAGATATTAAAAAATAAATCAAAAATATATATTTTTCGTGCCGTCCTTAAAAAAATTATTAAAAATACAAGAACTGTTCTGAAATCAAAACTATAATAGGTACTTATTTTAGATGATCTGTTCTTACTTTGCTATAAATATGGTAATAGTAAATCATACAGAATGTTCAATATTCTACACCAAACTTTCTATAATATAAAATATATTTTCTTCGTTATTTTAAATGGAATACCCTGTATATTATTCTTTTAATAGATGGAGAGTTAAAAAATTAACATTTTTTGTATTTAGAGCATTTCAAAACTTTTAACAGTTTTGCAGATACACGCAGTATTATCTCATATGGCGCTTTCAATGGTAAAATACGAGAGAAAAATCATTGGGTGGCTTTGATAAAAATTTACTATGGAAAATGCCATATGAAATATAAAACCGCAAATATCTGTGAAACCGTTAAACATTTTAAAATACTCGAAATACAAAAAATGTTTATTTTTTAATTCTCCGTCTATTGAAAAAATAATAAACAGGGTGTTCCATTAAAAAAAACGAAGAAAAATTGTTTTATATTTTAGAAAGTTTGGCGTAGAATTTTGAACATTCTGTATAATTTACAATTTTCATATTTATCTCAAAGTAAGTACAGACCATCTAAAGTAAATACCTAATATAGTTTTGATTTCAGAACAGTTCTTGTATTTTTAATATTTTTTTTAAGAAGGGCTGAAAAATATATATATTTTTGAATTATTTTTTAATATCTCTGAATCTATCGAAATGTATTTATTCATATATTAGGGTTATGTAAAGTGATCTGAAAGGAAGCCAAAAATGCAATAATATACAGGGTGTTCCATTTAAAAAAAAATCATGCAGGTCCACTCACACTTTTTTGAGCCACCCTATAGAAGTTGAAATATTTTCCTGAAATACATTCTGATACCAAGAACGGTAAACTAATTTAGTTTTTATTTAATTAGGTTAACTGTTCTTGTCCTGATACATACTTTAGGTTTGCACTTAAACAAAATTCTTAAGTTTTTTATTCTAGGAGCTACAGATGCCCAACGCACTATTGCCGGACCCTGTATAAGAACAAAACTTTTCACTTAATCTGCAGGTATATAATTACAATGTTCTTATTATTTAATTTTATTATAATGCATTATAGGATATAAAACTGTATATGTTATGATACGGTAAACCGGTAATTCTATTATTTAAATTACCGTTTCCCTGTAAATTGAAAGTCGGTAATCCCTATAGATAATAGGTATAATTGGAATTGGTAATGCCTATAGATAATAAGTCTAACAGATCAATTATATTTTGTAGACAAATCTTTCTGAACTGGGCAAAGTCTTGTTTCAATACCATGAAGAACCAAATGCTACAAACAGTCGGAATTATAAGATATTAGTATGGAAATATGGGCCAACGATAGAAAACAGACATTTGAAACAGTTCTCCGGACAGAGGTAATGACTCGGACGTATATCTACAGTGAGAGCCAAAACGTTTGCAATAAATAGAGGATATATTATAAATGATACCATACGATCGAAAAAAAAACGACGTCAAACGGCGTCAGCTGGGGAACGACAATCAATGATAATATTGGCAAGGTCAAGCCCTAGACATCATTTACTTGGCCTATACTTTTCTTTATTTTTTTAATGGAGCTTACTTCCAGTTGGCCTTAAGAAGGTTGTTTATTTTTATATCCAGTAAAACGTATTTTTACTGGATATAAAAATGTGCAAAAGAAAACATTCAAGAAAAAAGGTTTACCAGCATTCTTAAAAGAAACAAAATACATGATTTTTATCTATCCTTTCAAGGGCTGTAACTTTCTCAGGAATCGACTTATCCCATATAAATTTAAAAATGATGAGTAAGTTTCCCCATTTTCTATAGAAAAAACCGAGGATACCTTAAAAATCAAAAGTTATAGTAATTGCCTGTAAAATAGGATCAATCCTCATTTATGTCATACCTATACTAACTTATGTAAATATACTAACATACCAAATCTCGTTTTTTTATCTGGAAAAAAAATATATAAAGAATATAGTGTTCAGCCACTTGAAAATTACCCGGTATATTGTACCCAAAGTTCAAATTTATAAGAGAGAAAACAATGAAATCGAAGTCCACCTTGCAACAATTTCGTTGTCACCCGGTATATACACATATAGGGAAATTAAAATAAAGTTGTTTTAATTTCCTTTAATTTTTTTATTTTAGATAGATGTACTACAGTATGATCAAAAAATTTTATGACCAACGGTGCTTTTATTTCGACAATTAAAAAAACTAACTAAATACTTAGTAAAAATAGTTTCTCTATTAATATACTAAATACGCTTGATCTTAAAACTATCTGATCATATAGTGATATTTTAATTTATTTTGTCAAACCATAATTAGCAAACACTATTTTTCTAGAATAGATCCATTTGAATATTGTCCAGTAAAAAATTGTAATATAACTTATGAAGATAAAGACATCGAAACGGCCGATATTGTGATATTTCATCTACACCGAACAACCGTAAGTCCAAATTAAAGTAGTGTGTTTATTTAAGTTATTTTATTAACTTTCTATAATTTAGGGTCTCCAAGATATACCAAAGAGAACAAATCTTAGTCAAATATGGGCATTCCTTACTGACGAAAGTCCATATCACACATTCCTAAACTCCAAAAATAAACTTCAAGATTTTAATAATTTATTTAATTGGTCTATGACTTACAGGTTTGTATAATATAATGAAAATATATACAGGGTGTCCCAATATTCCGTGGACATTGAACTACTCCGTATCTTTGGAATCAAAATAAATTAATTGTACAGTATATCTCCGTTATTAGTGAAGATAGAAGGGTGCGGTTTGCATCAACCTGTCCCACTTTTTTGTCAAATGGAAGAAGCTGTAAACAAAATTTTCATAGATCTGAGCTACAGGGTCTTTTTGAAAATTTTGCAATTTAGGACACCCCCGTATTTCTGTTATTGTGAAAGGCATCGAGAAGGTGAAAACTGTTTATTGTAAAACTTTTTACGTAGAATACAGTGGCGTAGTATGTTATTCTATGAAAAGAATATTTTTGAAAATATAAACTAAAGTTATGTTTTTTTAAACGGAACACCCTGTATATTTATAAATTACATGATCTGGCTTGCCATAAGCTTTTCAAATATAAATATTACTCTATATTTATTTTCACTATTTACCGCAATATTTAAGTTTTCAATAATTGGGTATCATTTTCATTAGTAGGCCATGATTGATAATAAAAGAAAATAAAGAATTATTACAAGTATACTGTCTCTTGTTTTATTTTGGGAGGCACTAATAAATTCTTTATATATCAGAAAAACTTAACTCTCTGCCGCTATTTGTAAATCTTGGAAGCTATTGTATCGGAACTTTTAGATATTCCTTTAGCTATTTTACGCGAAATATACTTTCAGCAAAATGGGGCTCCCCCTCACAACTTTGAAAATATTAGAATTTTGTTAAATGACTATTTCCCAAATCAATGAATTGGGACCAGTGGACCGATATGATGGCCCCTCTGATCACCGGATTTGTGCGTTCTCGATTTCTGTATTTAGGGGTTTTTGAAATATGAATATTGTTGCAACTACAATAATGTCGAAGACCTGGAAAATGCTATTAGGCAAGTTTTAGGTATTTGCAAATGCAAATCTATCCCGCTATAATAAATCCCCTTATAAAAAAAGAAGAATTATTATTATATTCAGATATTCAGTGGTAACAGTTTAAAAATAAAACATTTCAGTCCCAAATAAAATTTTAATGTGTATGACTATTTTAGTAAATACCATTTTGGATTTTTTTGCTTTCTATCACGGCCTACCAATAAGAAACAGATATCTTTTAAATATTGCAGTAAATAGTAAAAATAAATATAGAGTGTTATATATTTTTGAGAAGCTCATAACAAGGCGGATCATATGATTTATAAATATACAGAGTATTCCATTTGAAAAAACAAAACTTTAGTTCATATTTTCAAAAATATATTTTTCGTGGAAAAACAGCCTACAACACTGTATTCTACGTAAAAAGTTCCACAAGAATCAGTGTTCACCTTCTTGATACCTTTCACAATAACGAAGATACGGGGGCTGTCCCAAATTGCAAAAATGTCAAAAAGATCCTGTAGCTCAGAAACGAAAAGAGCTACGAAAATATTGTTGACAGCATTTTCGGTTTGACAAAAAAGTGGGACAGGTTTGTGCAAACCGCATCCTCCTATCTTTACTAATAACGGAGATACCGTATGATTTCAACCAAAATGGGACACCCTGTACACAATTTACCTCTATACAAAAATTAAGAGTTTGTCCCTTAGAGGGCATCAAACTTTAAAAAAATAAATATATTTTTTCAGATATTTTAAAAGCCGTTATTCCGATTTGAATTAAATTTTGAGTATCTATGTTTTGTTAAGTGTTTTAACATTTGACTTTCACAAATCAAGAAAAAGTACAGAAAGGGTGAAAACTCACACCTACATTAATTTTAGTATAAATATTTTCCAACTCTACCGACGACCGATTTTTATTATAGACTAGGAAAGACGATTATTCCTATAGAATAACCATACAACCCCTACTTTACGACGGGGCATGCTTCAATGCAGTTTTAAATTTCCTCTCGAAAAACGTTATTCCCATTCTTCAAAAAATACTTGTTATCTTGAGTATCTTATACTATTTTTTTGTCAAAATGCACCGCTTTCTTTAAAAATGTGTATATAATATATAGAAAAAGCAAATGGTTTTTCTTATACCATACGATCGAAAAAAAGGCATCAGAGTTGGTTTGGAAATGAAGAGAATGTCATATGATCATATGAGAAGAATGTCATCGATCGTCATTTCCAAGCCAACCTGACGCTGTTTTTTTTTTCGATCATACGGTTATCTTATTATTTACTGTATTATTTCAGATCAGACTCACATATTCCAGTGCCTTATGGTAGAACTGTTCTCAGAAAGGTAGCTAACCCAATATCAACATTAATGTTAAACAAACGAAGGGATGTTTTAGTTGCTATCATGGGCTCCAATTGCCAAGCAAAAAATCATCGATGGCAATATGTAAATGAACTGAAAAAATATATATCAGTCGATGTTTACGGCGGTTGTGGACCTATGAAAGACGCGTAAGTATACTATTATAGTCTATTTCTAAAAGCTTGAGAGCACAAGACCTTCATAATAAATGCAAAAGGCGTTTTCTTGTGTACAGTATGACATGCCAAAAGATGGGACCAGTTTTATTTTAAGGGTATAATATATTCCAGTGAATTTCAGACAGCTTTAACACGTTTGTAAATGGACACATCCGGTACGTTTGCAGAAACCAATAGCAAATCCTCGTATAACAATAATGCAATAAAGATATTAGCAAGTACTGACCGCACCAGTGTCGGGTATTAGGGTTTTAAAATTTATTTTAAGCTTTGTTAAAATATATTTTGTTACACAAGTTAAGTAATATGATAATGGTGATACAAATATCTATTTTCCCGTTATTGTTTAATAACTATTTTCCCGTATTTTCAGTAACACTGTTTTAACATTGTGTGTAACATTTCAGTAACGAGTACACTCAATCTAAAGTTTTTATTGTTAAATGAATGTAACAGGTTACAAACCATAAATGACAAAGCCACAAGAAACAATGTCACACGTTTAGAAAAACATTTGAATTAGGTAATGTCAGACATTTACATTAATTAAAATACATATGTAATTATAAATCATTCTCATTGAAGTCAGAGTCGTCAGAATTTCCAACTGAAATTAGCAGATATTCTACTGTCTCCTCCAAGAGATTGTCAAGGTTTCCCATTTTTTGCTCCTCTTTTATGACATGGTCTATGGCATTTGTCCAATTTTCCGCAGAGATTTGTGTTATCGAAATATTCGTAAGTTCTCGCACACATTTTAACTTAAACGTTATGTTATTCCGAGCTACAAATCCTTTCATTTGTGCCCATATAAGACCGATGGGATTTAACTCATAATGGTAGTGTGGCAACCGAAGCACATTTATTCCACGCTTTAGTCATTTCGTCAGTATCATGTATTTTAAACTGATTTGCTTTGCCTAACTATTTGTACCAGCTCCTTTTTTAACATTCCGTTTTCGAATGAAATATCCTTTTGAGACAACCAACCTATAATATCCCCTTTCCTCCAAGAAGCGGTTGGCAATTTTTCTACTAATCTCCAATAATAACTGGCGTTGTCTATAACAATGACAGAGTTTTCTGTAAGTAATGTTATCATTTCGGAAAAGTAATTTTCAAAAATATCAGCCGTAATGATAATCCTTGGTCGATTTAGATTCAAATTGCAGTAGTTCATTCTGTACGAATCTATTATCTCCCCCAATATATGCGTTATAACTAGCCTGCCACCTTTCCCGGAGGGGATTTTCAAATCAGTCGATAATCCTTCTAAAAACGCTCCACGAGAACTTCCAATGCTATTGTCTTGCCAGATTTTCTTAAGAGAATGTCCTTCATTCAGCCATGTTCCTCTAGGTAGAAGATAGATTTTCCTTTCATATATTTACAAATGTTCCTTAGATATTGCCTTCTTCAAAGATATGTCTTCTCTGTCAGTGAGTACAGACTTCCGGTTGTACTTTTCGCAGGAGAAGCTCGTTTCTTTTAAAGTTGTCCAAAGTTTCTTTTTTCCCATGACCGGCAATCTTTCGTTATCATTTACAACTTTCTGAATTTTATCGAGAGTTGGCATTTCCTTGTTTAAGTAAAAGGCGTGCGCATGTCTCCTTATTATGCTTCTAGAACAGTCATCAACAACGAATGGCTTCCTCCCCGAGCTGTGTTGGGCTCACAAACAATTCCACTTATTCTCTCTTTCAGAACGTGGCTTTACCAACTCCCGTAATATTTGAACATTTCATAACTAGACTTCTCAAAGTAGCCGAGGGATCTTGGTGCACAAAGAAATCTACACATTTCTTTGTGCACAAAGACCTAAACGTCAGCCTGCGTAAATAATGGCTAGCATAAATTGCTCGTTCAATAATGTACTATTATTTTATTAAATAAAAAAGTCTGCTGATGGAATTTCTAAATGTTGGCCCCAACTCTTCTCGCTGTGCTATGAAGCATTTTGAAATAGACTATAATACCTACAGGACGTGTCAAAAAGTTTGCTTTCCAAAAATTGAGAGAATACATCAATACCTTTTTCGCATTTCTTACAAACTTTCTGGTACATCTTGTACAAATATTGTATAATTTATTTTTATTAAATATTTTAGATGTCCTGGACACTTTGGAGCAGACTGTCCAGCACTGGATAATTATTTATTTTATCTCTCGTTTGAAAATACAAACTGTAACGAATATATTACAGAAAAGTTATGGTGGAATGCTTATCATAAAGACTCCATACCAATAGTCATGGGTTCAAATACCTCTAGCAATAATTTACTGTTTCCATTAGATTCCTATATAAATGTAGATGACTTTGCTCACCCTAGAGCTTTAGCAGACCATCTATTGCACTTAAATAGAACTGAAGAGTTTAGAAAGTATTACAATTGGAAAAAACATTTCGAAATACTTAATGAACATGGGTACTTTAAGAGTCGATCATACCATTATTGTAGAATATGTCAAGCTTTAAACTATAATACCAAAGAAACCCACATATATACGGATTTAGAAGACTTTTGGAGCGAAAAAAGAGACTGTCATCCAGCATGGGACCAACAAGTTGATTAAAAAAAATTGTATTGTTATTTTATCTGTGATCATTTGTTATACCATTAATTTATAGAAAAATAAAAGAAAAAGTATATAATTTTGTTTATACATATACCCAGATATACATTACAGATCTAAAAGTTTTGTATTATAAAAAAGTACCTATATGATAAAAATAAAAACAATTCATAATTCATATGCAAACTTCTACCTATATAAGTATCAGAATTTTTTTTACTACTATTTCTGCTAATGGCAAAGATCACATTATAATTGTACAGTATAATTTGATCAAAAAGTTTTATGGTGAAGTGTGTTTCGTGAAAAATCACATTATACTGTATGATCGAAAAAAAAGGCGTCCAGTTAGCTTGGAAATGAACATCGATGACATTCCCCATATAATTTTACATACCTATAAAATGACAGGGATCTTCATTTCATAGTCATCGCTGACGCCGTTTTTTTCCATCATACGATATTATTTTCAATATCAGCCAAAGTTTGCTTGATCATACATCTTTTTGGTCGCAAGGTAGTTCTTAAAAATGTTCTGTACTAAATGGTGGTAGAAGCTTATGATTATGCTAATTTTAAGGGACATAATTTACCAAACAAATCTCAAACATTTAATTGTAAATTTAAATTATATTTTAAAAATTACTTACCAATATGCGTATTTACCTCCAAACACGTCACCAACATTAGAATAGTCAAAAAACTGAACAAAAACACAAGAAAAATGAAAACAAAAGAAAAACAACACAGAAAACTCAAACAGGACAAGAGGTTACGACGGTATTTTCTTCCTCTTCTTCTTGAAAATAATTTAGGCTGTTGCCCATAGAGAAATGTTACTTTATGCTGTTGCCTGTTCTTGTTACGCCTGTCGCCTGTCTTGGCCTGTTTCGTTATAGGCAACCAACAATACGCAAAATACTAAGATTTCAGAAATCACTCGGAAAAGAATAAAAAGACAATTTAATTATTATTATCTTTCTCTATGGTAAATTATTATTCTGCCAGAATTCTGCATTGAAAGGTTATATTGTGTCATCACAAAAGATTGCAAATCATTATTCCATTTCCTATTGTTCCATTCTTATTAATATGAGATTGTTAAGAATAAGTTTAATTAATATCTGTATTTCTTGTCCTTAAATTAACGATATATCTCTTATCTATATGCTAGAGTCTAAAAGATATTACCGTCTAAAAATATATAATAAATATATCTCATTGAAATTTTATTTTTAATAGATTTTATTATTTTATATTCAATTTTAATACTTGATGAAATGGTGAATGAAAGCATAATTAGAGGGCTCTTTAATTTAAAAGACCTAAGCACAAACTAACTTAGTTAGTCTGTGATCTAAGACATCTTATGAAGTTCCTGCTTACTAGACACTATCCACTTAAAATACCGTATGATCGAGGAAAAAACGGTCTCCAGTTGGCTTGGAAATGAACATCTACAACATTCCCCTTATAATTTTACATATAAATGACTGCGATTTCCATTTTATAACCATCGCTGACGCCGTTTTTTCGATTTTATTATATAATTATCATCTGTGCACTAAGTAATTTCAACGTAGCATAATATTTTACAAGATAGGTACTTAAGAAATTTTATTCCACATTAAGATTAAAGAGGTAGGTATATGTACTTTCAAAAGCCTTAGTACAAGATGGGCAATTTATCAATCAGACTTTTTCATAAGAGATTGGAAGAAGTCAAATGAAGAAAAACTACTCAGAAAAAGCTGTAGATAAAAAAATAAATTGTATTTAAAATTCTTAGAGATTATTTCAGACACACAGCAGTGGCGTAGCGCTATTGCCGCAAACCCCTGCAGCTGTGGGGGGGCCCAGGCCCAAAGGGGGCCCGAAACCTCTGAAGTCCGGAAAAGCCTCTTGCTATGACAATTTTTTTTCCAAATTGAAAATCATCAAAAATTATTTACGAAATAGTTCATTTCAGACAAGGGTAACTAACTTGGCTATACTGTCCATAGAGGCACAAGCTGATAATATATACCCAGATAGTAAAAAAAACTGCGGCGGCAAAAGCTAGAAAAAAAACTATTTACTGCCTGATAAAAATTCACAGTCCTTTACAAAGATGCAACCGGGGGGCATTGAAAATGATGAATAAAAACGTAAAAATATGATTAGTGTTAATATGAGTGTATTACATACATATGTTTAAATAACGAACTTAACTAAAAACAACAGATTTAAAGATTAACTGAAAAAGTAGTAATGTTAACATTAAATAAAACATTATTAATAATAATTATGCGATCGCCACCTAACCGTTAAACAAACAAGCAAAAAAACAAAATAACATACAAAACATCAGGTTAACATGATGACAGATCATGATCGATGACAGATAAAGAATTCTTACGGAAAGTTACACTTTACGATATAATTTTTTAACTGTTAAACCCCATTTAAACACAAAACTTTTTAATACCTACTACTGTATCTAAAAGACACTTTTTTTAAATTACTAAATTCTTAGCCACGCTTCTGTTTTTCTTGGCTGTTGTGCGTCACGTCACAGATTAACAGGCCCACGTTTGTACCACAAGGCGATGCTGCAGACCACTAGGTAGACCGGTCGTAGAAATTTATGTTATACAACTTGTAGTCAATCTACACAAATATTATCAAAAACTTTTTTTCTTTTAAAATGTGTTCAGATTTTGTAAAAAGTATAAGTCAAAATCGCAAAACTTAAAGTTTTATATAAATTTTTACTAACTTTACCCATTTGGTTGATGAATTTCAAAAATGTCTTCTAATTCTTTTTGTAGGCTTTCATTCTTTTAGACCAAATAGTAAGGAATTTTCATACAACAAACCGTTCCGACATAATTTTACTCTCTTAGAGGATGAATTTCCTAAAATCGCTTTGTGTAGCTAATTCACTAATGTCGTTTAAACGAACCTTTGTGCTAATATTTATGTATCTAAAGCTGGCGGTATGAACTCACTCCTAAAATATCTAAAAACTTAATATATAATCTAACTGACACACCACTGATAATGACAAATAATTTATTTCTGGAGGTATTGTGTGTAGGTGTTTTTCAGGTATGTTTTAGTATTTAGTCGTTTTACACAAAGAAATAGCCATTAAGCACTATAAAAATACTTCATAACAAATCTACACACCAAACCAAACCTTTCATTTAAAAAAAGAATCATCAAGATTGGTGAAACGGTTTCGGCGGGATGGATGCAACAAAAAAACCCTTTGAGCTTTTATATATGTATGGATCAATTATTTTTCCAACATATTTTATTTTGCAAATTTTTATAAATATTCAGACTCGCCAATATCGTAGTCCACCGTGTCCAGCCCGTTTAGCCAAACGTAGGCCGATTCCTCTTCGGCGGCGCACAGTGCTTCGTCCCATGGACAAAAATCAAAAAATAAGTTAAAATTTACTAATATCTAAATATATAATTTTATACTTAAAAAATGTTCAACCATCCTGTATATTATTTTTCATAAACAGCGTTTTTGTTAGCAAATATTTTCACTAAAAATAAAGTTTGCGATCATTATCTCATCAGTGAAAAGAATAACATTCATAGTAGTTCTGTATATTATGGAGTTAAACGGGTACGTACTTAATTGAAAGCCACTATGGATATTGTTAAACAAGGTATGTACTTTAAATTTATTTCTAAACAAGTTCGTGATTGTTTAGTTTTTATTTATTTTTAAGATGATTCTTAAATGGGTATAAAAATTTTACGTTTTCAAACTTCAAAAGGCATTTAAAAAACATATCAAAACATATCGCATTTATTGAATATTTTTGTTGCCATATTCATACACTTTTAATTTTTGTATAGTTCACCTGCGTCTGCTTGCGACGAACTTTATTTTATAATACTTTTCAGATGGAGTAAAATTGATAAGCAATGCCGATCTGGCTAATACTTGGCTTGATCATAAAGACAAGAACTCAAAATTATTTGTATTTCAAAAAATATGTTCTTATTAGATATTGATGAACCTTCCAGTCAAATGAGACACCACTTGTGCCTGAAAAAGTCCACTATGTTGGAGCGAAACGTCGCATAAAAAAAGTGTCCATCTTTCAATTTATTATATAATCTCATACCCAAGAAAAGGAAAAAATAATATATGGATATGCTGTATTAAAGAGGTAACTATTAACATCCGAACCCCTCATAGCGACAAAATGAACAGTAACAACGCGAAAAAGTAACATATTAGAAAATGATGTACAGAAATATCTTATATGTGAGGATACTTCATCTACCTGATTTGGATACTATAAATTTGGAAGATTCTGTCAGCAGTAATTCTTCTGAATCAAAGTAGTTACGATCTATGCATTTTGTTGTCCTAAAGTAAATTTATAGTATCTTAAGTTTTTTTTTTAATTAAATATAACATTAATGTTTCTTTTTCATTAAACAAAAACATTTTTATCTTATCTTACGTATTAGGCTTATATTGTAGGAATCATGTTCTAATGTTATTTCAATTCTTTTTTATCACAGGAATTTATTTAATACTTACACCGTTTTCATACTATAAATTATTATTTGCTTAGATGGAACACAGCTCCAACATTATTATTATTTATAAGATTTTTTTTTCATAAACGTGGGACTAAGAACATCATCATTTAGTACAATGAGAGTACTCATCATTTGTGTCAAATAAACCTAGTTTGAATAAATTGCTTACAATAACAGAGAAGTTTTGGATTTTTGTCCTCTAGAGCCATATGTTCGAAGCACTGTGCGGCGTCGTGACCCTGGCCGATGGAAGAGTCTTTGTATAATGTATATATGCGGTCTCACCGGAAACATTACTTATTACTTCACATAACTTGAAGAATATCTACTTTTAATAATGAACACTTCAGAAATACACCAGTAAAAACATTTATTATTTGAGATTAAAACTCGAATTAAATTATAAATATTAGTTACCTATGTTGTTATAGCTTTTATAGGCCTGTTTAACGACTTAATAAGTTACCTAGCGAAAAAATCTGTGCGCGTACCTACCACTATTGTTACAGGTATA